ATTAATTCCGGTTTATTCACAACGAATAAAATTTTTCACATATTTTCTGACATCACAAGTTTGAATTTCACTCACGAGCGAGAAATTATGTCGAAAATAGTTAATATTTATTTTATTAAAGCTTAGTGCATAAATACTTAGAGCTTAGTCACTATAAAAATAAATTTAGTCACGCTTCCATCTCTACCCTACGTGATAAATGTTGGTCATGTACATACATGCGAACATACGAGTACTGTTGTCATCTTAACTTAAGTAAAAAATTTTACTAATTTTTGATGAAATGATTGTAAAAGTTGTAAATATAGATACCATGCAGTTTGGTTTATCTGTCCTTCATGGCTGGATAAGATTTTTTGAGTGTCTTATTCACTTTTCATATAAACTTCCAATTAAAAAATGGCAAACTAGATGTGATGATGAAAAAAAAATTATATTCTAAAAGCACGTTAAGTAAGCTCTAATTTTCAATTGCATTTACTAATTTATCGTTTTTCTTTCCAAACTTATAGCGAAAATTGTGAAATAAGACCTTTTTTTTCCAAAATACAAAAAAGCCCATTAAAGATTAAAAAAAAATTTTTTTTTATTATTTTTTTTTTTTAAATTATGTTTTTTTATGTATTTATGAATAACCATCAATAAAAAATAATAATATTTTAAAATTACGGCTTCCCTGAATTAATCGCCACTTTGCATACCGTTCAACCCTCTGTGCGCCGTAGCCGAGTACTTAGAAGTGCCTATTGCCACTCAGGAGGTTCATGGTTAAATTTGTTGTCCCAGAAACATCAAAAAATGCTTTTCAAATAGCGGTCGCCTCGCGGCAAACGACGGAGTGTACTTTGCCATAAAAAACTTCTTTGGAGCTGGAGTATGAGTATAGATCTATCCATTTAGGGGTTTCCCTTAAACTGGAAAAAGCCGTTTAAACTTCAAAAAACTCAACACTTTTATTGAGAGGTCAAGATTTGTATGAAGTGAAAAAAACCGAGTTGTTCGAAAAAAATTTGGGTCTATTCGATATTTGAAAAATCTCGATTAAAAAAAAATCTCCTATAGATAACTAAAAAACAGGTGGAAACCGGTCGACCGCCCTAGTATAAACCAAAAAGACTCGCTCACTTTTCATTTAAAGTGTACTTACATACAAATACATATCTACTCGCATATCACCCCCCGCACCAACGAAATGTTTTAGCGGGAAAAAACACAAAAGTAACAGTGCATACATACATACAAATGTAGGTTCATGAAGCACTATGTACATACATATGTATGTACACACTCGTATATGTATGTATGTATTTATGCATATCCGCCAGCAGCCAGCCACTCATCCGGCCTGCTAGTCACCGCGGCCATTGTATGTTGCACGCTTAACGAGGTGTTTATTTTCACAACTCATGCTGCCACAGCAATATTTGCAACACCAACAATAATAAGCCGTTGAGTAAAGGCAAAAAAGCAAAAGAGCTCAACAACAAAGCTAAATTGGCTGCAATTGCGCAGAATAAAAGCATGACTCCACTCGCTGGTTGCCACAGTGTGCGGCGTATTGCAACAAAACCGAATACTCAACAGCATACATGCGTTCACACCAACAACAAACAAACTGCAATCACATCCTGCCTCCTGAAGCCACTCTCGCGCATACAGATTTATACATTATCTTCTACCGATGCTGCTGCTGCTGCTGCTGCTGCAATAATCGTGAGCAATCGCGAAGTCTGTAATGCCACCAACTAAAGTTGCCGCGCCACTCTTAGCGCAAAAGATTTGTGATCTCTTCGTGTAGCACACTCGCACACACACCAGAGGCAAGCAGGCACATACATACATACATATGTATATGTAAGTAAGTAGGCGCAAATAAAATATACAACGGAGGTAGAAAACTGTTGCCGCCCATTTTAACACACCAATTCGTTGATGCTTCAGCAGTGGAGCAGTCGAGCCGAGCTTAAATAGGTGGTGTGGAGCGCAGCAGTTGCGCTGGGGTGGTGGCTGAGGAAAAAACCACAAACACTTTTAATGATGCTGTTTGCCAACACTCAATGGCCAACGCGGGACTGGTAGTTGTTGTTGTTGCGTGAAAAACTGCGCCACCATAGCATTAGCTTAGTTGCCTCCAAGCCTTGCTTTTTTTTGTAATTTCTTTTTTTTTTACTTTACTACATAAATATGGTTCATATTGTTTTTGCTATTGTAATTTTAGGTTTGCTGCTGTTGTCTAGCTATTAAGCAAATCGGTCGGGCTGCTGTTGTTGCTGCTCCTCACCTAAAGTTGTTGTGTAATGGTGATTGGTGAGCAGAAGCCTCTCTCACTGCTTCTCATCCCACTCTATATATATGTAGTTAGCTGAGTATACATTTGGTTTGGGCGCATTAATAAAGACTTATTGTCGGTAATTGTGGCCTGTTTATAAGGCTTAAAGGAAGTTACGTATACATATTCTTACATATGTATGTACAGACATATACGTTGAACAAGGTTGAAGGAATTCCAGTCGGTTTTCAATATTTCGTCCGACAAACATATTGGATTCGCTATTTTGAATTTTTTAAATTTAATATCAGTTCCTTAGTCAGCGACCCCAACAATACCTGAGCAACAAGTTTCAATTAAATCCGATCGAATTTCAAAACATCGTCCGCCATTTTGAATTTTTTTAATTTGACTCCAGACAGCGCCTCCAAAAGCCACGAGTGACAAGTTTCAAGCCAATCCGATAAGATTTTGAAGTTTTTATTCCTTTCCGGCCCAAAATATACGATCTCCTGACCATCTCTGATTAACCTCCGCGGACCCATCTGGCCCAGAGTAGTCAACATATTTATAGTTAAATGTATTCCCTCTCTCTCTTTTCTCGATGAGACCGATTTGTATAGGTATGCTTTCTTGAGTCTGCTCATCAGCCACGAATTTTCCTACAATATCAGTAAGCCTGACTACGAAATAAGCAGGCACAACTGATACCTGAGCGATCATTAGCTGTGTTTATCGCTTGGCTGTAGGAGCAAACTCTTACATCCCTTATGGACGTCACACACTCGAACAGCCTTAATGATAGCTACCTCTTCCTGTAAATTACCCGCTGGACTGTTTAAAACAGACCGCTTCACTGATCCTACCTTCAACATTTGATCCATCCTGGTAGATGTTACCTGCCATCCACTCATCCCTAGAGGAGATGGGAACATAGAAAGAGCTTTTTTCTGCCAGCCTAGCTCCGCAGTTATTCGTGTTTTCAGTAATAAAGTCGAAGCCTCCAGGAATACTACAGTATCCAAATTCTGAGTCAGTTAGCACCCTGTCTCCCTAAGTCTAATGTTATATCAGCAGCGACTGTGGCTACGATGTCGGTGTGTTAATCATGATGTGAGGTGCCAAGTGGAAAGTTAAGTACCTCTATTTAGGTGCGACTGCTACCACCGGGCGCCTAAATTCATGCTATGTACTGCTGCTTGTGCAAAAATTTCCGCCATTAAATTAATGAAATTTTTGCATATTCACTTCTCAACTGCCGTATAATAAAACTTTCTTAAGTTATAATTGGATGGTAATTAAAAGTGTGCTCGACCCCGTCTGATGCATCCTCCGGACAATGCTTTCATGCAGAGGTGGTAATAGATGATTACTATTGGCCACAGTGCCTACCCACTACTACTTTTTGGTCCAATAAATATATATTTTTTATACATACTTCAGGGACCGAACATAACAGCTATTGATGAAAACTGTCATGGAAAAACTCGATTTCTTTTTTCACCGAGACTCAAATATTAAAATTAATTTTTATTTGCAATTTTTATGCAAAATTAAAAAAAAAATAACAATTATTTTTGTTGTTTATATTATATGTGTTAGATAACAGTTATTGAAGACTATTATTTTTATAAATCAGTCACCGACTTTAAGTTAAGAAGGTGTTGGGAACAAAAGTTTACTACGACTTATACAAATGACTTTTATAAGTATGATATACAAAATAAAGGTCAGTGACTGATATTTATTTATTTACAAATGAAAGTCTTCGATAACTGTTATGTAGGGCATATAATTTAAATATGAAAAATGACTGTTGTTTGCAGATTGGATTAGATAAAAAAAAGACAGCTAGAGAAAAGTCTCTATATAAATATGGAGTTTTCCTCTATCGGCCGGTCTCGGCCGACCTAGCCTGGATGTACGTTGAGCTTGTGGCCGGCGCTCGTGTGGAACCTGTTTCAAATATTCAAAACACTGAGCCTCGGCAGGATTTTAGGAACATCCGAAGAGCGATTGATAAGAGGAGTTAGGGACTTTGGTATAAACGCCACCCTGACCGGAGCTAGTCTGAAGGAGTTAAGATAAACACTGAAAACAATTTAGGTTATGTACTTAAGTAAATTTTATAAAAAGAATGTATGTTTTGCGCCTAACAACACAAATTAAATAATTTCGATATAGTAAATTTAAAATTTATTTCAGCGAACCAGCGCTGCGGAATTAAAGCAAACAATTACCTATATAATCTGCTATAGATACATATACGTATGTACATAAGTATCAGCGTATGTTACAGTATATAGTGCAAAGCAAATACAGACTTGGCTAGCAAAGGCTGAGAGAACACCTACACTGGGCACTGCGCCATTCACCAACACCACCGGCACCACTACCACCAAAAGTTCGCTATGCGCTCCGAAAAAGTCACACTCCACCAAAGCGCTGCAATGTTGTGCCACCTTCCTCCCGCTGCGCGTCAACTCAAAAAGCAGAAATGCAAGTTTTGCCGCATGCGCACGAACTACGATTTGCACCATTCGCACCGCGCCAAGCAAAAGAGTGAGACAACTATTTGACGCTTTCCGGTAGCCACTGAGTGAGCGCCGCTTTGCTTGCCATGTTTTGCTTTATTTCCGTAAGCAAAGGTTGTGGTAGCTGGCGGCGTTGGCTTAATGTGCGAGAAGCTCTCGCAATGCAGCGTCATTACAGTACGACGCGACACGAACGAAGGCGGGCGTTTACGTTTTATTGAAGCGCAACGTCGAAAACTCGCTGCGAATGCGTGTTTTACGCGAATTGCCGTCGCAATTTTGATAAAAGCAAAAACAAACGCTTGTGTGTATAAAATAATACTGTGTTAAAATTAAGCAGCCGCCACTTAGTGCCGAAGCGAGCGAGTCGTCATAAGCGTTTAATTGAAGTTAACGCTAATTACTGCAAACGTTTGAGCGCACCAAGCGCGCTTGGAGTTGTGCGTGTGTGCAGACTAACCGGTGTGGTCGCGTTTACTTAAACGTAGTAGAAGCGCGCGTCCGCCCTGCGGCTGCATACGCTTCGAACGCGGCTGCTGCTGTGCGTCTGTGTATGCGTGTGCGCGCAATTAAACGCTTTTAGCTGCATTATGGCGTTGACAGCTTGTCAATTCAAGCGCAACCGTTACGCTACATCGCTACTAATACCGCCAGCGCTACCGTTGCAGCTAACCCAGTCACAATTGCGGTCTCGTTTGTCAATGTCATCACTTATCTGAAGCGCACAACGGATGCACTCCACCACTCCAACGGCAATCGGTAGCAATCAAGCGCTTATGTGTGTGTGTGCGTGTGTGTTAGTGCGCGCGTACGCTATATGGCCACTGAAGCGTTGCTACTTATCAACAGTGTTGTTGTTATTGTGCCCGTCCGTTATAGTCAGTGATTCAAGCACTTTGTCATTTTGCCGAGTTTTCAATTAACCAGCAAACCGCGAAGCTCATTCCGGCCGTACGTTAGTTAAGCAAACAATTGTGTGCATCGAAAGCGGCGCTGTCCATCGAACGTTCAAATAATCGCTTTCAAGTGGCAGTTGCATTTTTTCAATTTCCCGTCCGGCCGGATTTCGCCATTGTCTCGCGCGCGCTCATTGTTCTTCCGTTTGTGATATTCGTACATTGTGTTGACCGCAATTTCGCAAATGGTCACGTGCGGCCGTCAACCGTTCAATATGCTGCCAATGGCGCCGATTAATCCCTTTGTCGTTGGCCTAACACCCACTTCAATGGCAGCAGCAGCTGCAGCGGCGGCGGCCGCCGTTGCGGAGTCAACGACGCGCTCCATAGGCAGTGGCACAGCAACAACAACGGTGGCAACGGCAACCGTAACGACTGCAAACATCAAACCAAAGTTGGCGTTCAGCATAGATTCGATAGTTGGCAGCAACAGCAAAAAACGCGATGACGGCGATCCCACGCAAACAACAACGAATTGTCGACCAATACGTCCTACCGTCATCTCACCACCACTCTCCTCCTCGCAACGCAGCGACAGTCCAGATGAACGTCCAAATGGCGAGCGTGATCGCGATCGCTTACTGCTCCCGTACGAGCGTCCGCCCAGTCGCGTCAGCCTTAGCCTCAGCGAAGACTCCCATCATTGCCAACAACCATTAGAATTAAGGAATAGCTTTACTGTGAATTATCGCTCGACAGCGGATCTGCACCACACTGCACTCGCACGCCCGCCCATGGGTCTCATCTATTGTCGTCGTCGCTCGATATTGGATCAATCGCCGGAACGTGATTGCGCCAGTCCCCTACTGGTGGGCAGATGTCGCACACGATCGCGTTCACGTTCGCCCACTCGCCTAACGACACAAACTTCCCGTGAACCTAATATAACTGTGAATCGTAGTCGCACGCCCTCTCTTTCGCCCACACCACCACACAGCCGCGCCACACCACAATCGCCTCAAACGCCAGGTAGCGCCAGCGGCAGCATAGGTGAGCTTAACAAGCGACCCATTCATGTGCCTGGCATACCGGCCGGTTTGATACGCCCTTTACCAATGCAAGCGCCACAAAGTCTTTCTCTACTTCAGTCAGGCAGTGGCGGTGGCGGCGGTACAGTTGGACCCGGTGGCGCGCCTAACTCGTTAGAGGGTGGCAACGCATCTGTTAACCCTGCTGCTGTGCATCCTTTAGCGCCAACGATACCCGGATCGGTACCGCCAGCACCACCACAACCACACGGTGGGCCACCGCTGCCGCCATCTGCGTCTGGTGTTGTTCCACCTCCACCTCCGCCGCCTAATCCACACTTCCTGGCAGCGCAATTTCAAATGGCCGCTGCATTAGCGCATCATCACCATCAGCAGCAGCAGCAGCAACAACAACATCATCATCCCGCAGCGCATTTGCCGCCAGGCCATCCAATGGCATTATTCCCGCCCGGGCCGCATCATCCGCACTTTGGCGGGCCACACCTGATTCGCGACAGTTACCCGCTCTACCCGTGGCTGCTGAGTCGACATGGACGGATATTTCCACATCGATTTCCCGGTAGTAAGTTTACAATACTTTACTATTGAGTAAGTTTTCTTTACTTGAATTCGTTGAAGTGGACTTCGCATGGGAGCAGGCATTGCTAAATTAGAGCTTCCATTGATATAGGCTTGCAGGGACATTTTAACAGTCATTTTCAACGTTGTTGTAAAATTAACCCTCTTTTATAAAAAATTTGCGAAAAATAAAATATTTAAAAAATAGTTGCCCGTATTGTAAAAAATTGGCTATACCTAAACATTATTGACTGACTGTAAATACCCTGCAGGAAATTTAATTAGTTGGAAAGTAATTTATAAACTACTTTATTTTCAATGATAACTAATTGAAATTCTCACTATTTTACCTGCAACGAACTCATTTATTTAACATGGCGATGTCCTAGGAAGCAGTCAATTGCCTTTTCCTGCATGTATTCTCAACTACTTTATAATGCATTCGGCTTAAACAACTTCAAAGTCAGTATGTTTCGTTTGAATACGCTTGCGTTCTGGACTTCACAGATGCTTTTTCATAACTAAGAAAACCCGAAATTAAAAATTTAAAATTAAATGAGATTTGAACATGGACATTCTTGGCTACGACCAATTGTAGCAAACATCTTTGCACGCTCAGCTACAGCCAGACATGCAAATGTGCTTTCAAATGTTCAGTTTGAATTGTGTGCAAGCAGCAAGTCGACTGTCCGACTCTGCATTTAATTTCAACTACTTTAAAATGAGTTTGGTTTACACAACTTAAAAGTCAGCATGTTTCTTTTGAATACGCTGGCGTTCTGGACTTCACATATGCTTTTTGATGCTTCCAAGACACAAATTGTTTTTTTGAGCAAAAGAGTATAAAAATTCGAAACATTTACTCATTGCATTTGTTTTAAAGTAGTCTTTCAATTAGTTGATTTAAAAAAATAATCACTTGTTTCCGTCAGGGTATGAACTCTATTTTGTAGTGAATTGGTTTCATCATTGTTTGATTAAAATGCATGTGTTATTTATTTTTATACCGGCAATAAAATATTAGGAACATATTTTTAATTGCACATTTTGCTTGTTTATAGCGCAAATTTTAGATTTTTTTAGTACATAACATTTCGAGCCCTAGTAACAAATCATAAAATTTCCGTAAATATTTCACAAACCGAGGAATTTAATAATAATATTTATTTAATAATAATAAATACATGCACAACAACCAGAGGTTATGAATTACAGTGCATGTACATAAGTATGTTACAAATTTCTTAAACTATGTAAATATAATCACTTACAAATCAATATGAACTAGGACTAATAGACTAACTAGACAGTGAAAGTGGAATTCCAAGTAGAGGAGTGAGTAATTGAATAGGTTTAGAGGAAGATGATAAAGAAGCGTTGATATTCATAGAAAAAGGAAGGTTAGAGAATATTACACTAGGAATCACATGGCAAAGTGACGCATGAGTTCGTTCCTAAATTTCGGCGTGATCTTAATATTTCTAATCGCATGTGGCAAATTGTTCCAAAGACGTACCGTGTATACAAAAAACTGGCGTTCAGAAATTAGCAGGTTAAATTTCGATAAGGAAATAGAAGGGGCTCGGGAAGACCTACTTAGTGGGAGCCGTTCTTTCAGGTAGCTGGGCTCCTGAGTTGTTATAACCTTATGCATCAATGTTAAGCACTTGACCTGTAATATGTCATTGAAAGATATTGATAAGATCTTTGAGGCAAAGTTGGAAATGTGCTCGCAACGTTTAATGCCATAAATGTATCGTGCAATGTTGTTGTACAGAACATTCAGTTTACTTCGACAAACGCTGTCACAGTCAGCATACAGTTCGCAGCCATATAGTAACGTCGGTATCAAGTATGTTTTGGCTAGTAGAAGCCGGATTTTTACTGGAGTAAAGTACTGAAGGCTCCAAAAGGTTCGGAGCATACCGTAAACTTTTCCTATCGCACTAAAAATATGGTTATTCCACGTAAGTCTTCTATTAAATGTTACTCCTAAGTTTTTGGCAGTGTCCACGTATTTTATCGCAGAACCGTTCAATTTTACTTCATAATAGTCGTCAAGTTTAAAAAGTTTCTTATATATAACAATGCACTGGCATTTTCTTGGATTAAGGACTAAGCCATTTTCAGATGCCCACTCGCTTACGGAGTCTAAGTCGGCATTTAGGTTAGTTATACATGCATTGATGGATTCGGGGGGACAACAGAGATACAATTGGACGTCATCTGCATAGACATGGATATTACAATGTTTTAACACAGAATGGAGATCATGTATATACAACACGAACAGCAGAGGACCAAGTATGGATCCTTGCGGAACCCCTCGAGTGGTGGGCAGCGGGGTTGAAACAATATCGTGTACGCTTACTGATTGTGAACGGTCAGCAAGGTATGATCTTACTAGGTTCACTGCCCATGGTGCGAAACTGAAAATTTGACCAAGTTTTAAGCACATTAACGCATGATCCACTGTATCAAAAGCTT